AGAGGAGATGGCACGGACATACCAAGATGAATGCACATCTAGTGGTGATGAATCCCGTGAAGTCCGTGAGATGAAGAGAATTGCGAGGCATGAAAAGAGGAAGAAAGAAGGTGAAGCAGAGGAGACAACAGAAGCAGCAGATGATGATCAAGATGAAACTAAGAGGCTGAGGAGACCAAAGAAACCCGAGGAAAGCTCAAGCAAGAAGAGAAGGAAACGAAAGAAGAAGATTGAAGAGGCCAAAGAGCAACAGAATGTTGAGGAACAATCTGTTCCTCAAGGAAGTCAAGATGAACCTTCGAGTATGCCATCGAGTTCCATTTTGGATGAAGAACACAAGAGGAAACGTGATCTTCTACTTGATGATGTACCAGAATCCATTCGTGGAGCGATGAGACGAAGACTTGAGGACAAGGAGGTGGACTCATCTGGTGGAGTTGAGATGTCCGCAGAGGAGAAGGAAACAATGTGTGTGGCATTCCTTGCAGAGAGGATGGACACCTACACCAAAAGGAACAAGCACACGGAGCTCAACCCTCAGAAGATGAAGTCACAGCTTCCACAGTTCACAGACAAAGAGATCGAAGAAGCTATGCAAAAGGCTGTGGAGAAAGAAATTGGCACATGGCAACGCTTTGATGCCATCGACATCGTGCCTCCGGATGAAAGCAAGAAAATTCGAAAGGAAAGCCCGGAGAAAGTGATTTCCTCAAGAGGCGTTTGGACAAAGAAGGATGATGAAAAGAGAGATGAAAATGAAAAGGAAGAGCTTGTGCTGAAGTGCAGGGTCGTTGGCAGAGGCTTTCAAGAAGAGTACGACGAGAACCTCCGTCGTGATTCGCCAACATGCTCTACATTGTTGGTTCAGGTCATTTGCAGCCTGGCATCATCAAGGCTGATGAAGTTGACAGCAGCTGATGTCAGAGGAGCCTTTTTGCAAGGGCTGAAGATTGACCGTGAGCTGTACTTTGAGCCTCCAAAGAATCTTGGAAAGGCTCAGATTCCAGGAGTGCAGCCAGGTGCCTTGCTCAAACTCAAGAAATCCATCTACGGCGTGAACGATGCCGCAAGGCAGTGGTATCATTCCATCAACAGAATCCTCCTTCGTTTCGGCTGAAAAAGCTTGACATTCGAGCTTGCCGGTTTTGTGCTTCGTGACCCAGCTTCAAAAGAAGTGATAGCCATTTTGGCTTTACATGTTGACGATGTCCTCATTGCATGGGATGAAAAGAAATACCCAGAAGAATGCAAGAAGATGCAAGAACAAATGCAGAAAGAAGTTGAGTGGGGGCAATGGAGGACTGATGGAACTTTGAAGTTCTGCGGCAGATCCTATCACCAGGATGAGGACGGGACAATCCATGTTCATGCTCAGGAGTATGTGGAAAACATGAGCACCTACAAGGTCAGTCGAGAACGTGGCAAAGACAACAATGCAAAGCTGACACCAAGCGAAACCAAGGCATTTCGAGGACTACTTGGTCAATTGCAGTGGTATGCCCGGATTATGGGGTACTCCATTGGTTTCCAGGTCAGCAAGCTTGCCAGCGAGATCAAGGATTTGAGGATGTCAAGCCTCAAGGAAGCATCAAAGCTGGTGAGAGAAGTCAAACAATACCATCAAGAAGAGGAGCTCATTTTTAGACCAGGCATGGCTTGGCAACCGGAAGACATTGCAGTGGTAGCAGTCCATGACGCATCCTTCAACAATCTTCCAGGTCACAAGAGCCAAAAGGGATATTGGCTGGGCATTTCAACCCCAGAGGTGATCAAGGATCGAACGAAAGTACACCACATCCATTTTGTTCATTGGACATCATCCAAGATACAAAGGGTGGTGCGATCGACCTTGAGTGCCGAAGCTTATTCCTGCTCAGAAGCTCTGGATGCCCTCAGTTGGTTGAGAGCGACCATTTTGGAAGTGTTGCATGGAGATTTGGACATGCGTCACTACAAGGAATATTTGCATCGCGTGCCAGGTGTCACGGTGACAGATTGCAGGTCTTTATATGATTGCATGAAGTCAGAACGTGTGTTGCTTTCCGATCGCAGACTGTCCTTGGAGGCAGCAATCATCCGACAAAGCTTGCAAGAAGGTGTTGAATGCAAGTGGGTGCCATCAGAGCAACAACTGGCAGATGCATTGACAAAAGCGCTTCATCGAAAAGGCTTGGCTTATTTGAACGATGTGCTCTACTCCAACAAGTGGACACTTGGCCCAGATCCAAGATTGCCAGAGACATCGAGGAGCCGGAAGTTGGAAAATCCAGAAGAAAAGCCAAAGCCAGAAAAGGTGAACAGCCATGAAGAAGCCGAGATGATCAACCAAAAGCCGATTGAACTTGAGGAGAATGAAAATTCAGCAAGCCCCAACAAGACAACCCAGATATCCACAAGTCCCGGAGTAAGTGCGAAGTCCGTACTGATGATTTCATTTGCGCAGCAGTTCCTCCCTACAAATGCCGAGCCGGACGTGAGGACGATCCTGCCCCAGTTTCCATGGGAGTTGATGTTTGCGTGCGTGATCATTGTACTGACAGGTCTCTTTTGGTACAACACGACTTACTACACGGAGTGGTTTTTGTGGTATGAGGACCTTGCATTGTACAAACAAGGTGCACTTGTTTCGTTCACAACAATGCTGGTGGTCGTGATCGGGTTGAAGACAACAGTTTCACAGAATTCAGAATGTTTGATGTTGATGTGGGGTGGAATGGTGATCATGATAGTGTTGCTGGTGAAAAGACTTGATGAGAAGACATCAACGATCTTTACCCTTTTGGGCCAAGAACGCAAGAAGACTCAGGAGCTGATTCATGCAGGTATGTCACAAATGTTCAATGAGAACAACATCATGTTGACAGGGATGGACCGCATGAAGCACGCCATCAACGAGGATTTCAAGAAGGTCTCAGCGTTCATTGGTGATAGCAACCGATTCACCTATCAGAAAATGGACGACATTGCAGAAGAAAGCAATTTCAGGATCACAAAAGTCATTGACAGGTTGATCAGGATTGAATACAAACAAGAACGACAAGAAGTAAGAGCTCTGGATTTAGAGAAACGTCTGAAGCAAAAGAAGAGGCATCGGACCCCATCCATGAGTTCAGATGAGAAGCGAGCAATCCTGTTGAAGAGGCAGGACAGAAGAGAAGCCCCAGGGACTCCAACGGAGTCAGAAATCATGAGCTGGAAGACCCCGCAGTGCCGGAGTTATTTGTGGAGCCAGGAGAAGATGGTCGGCTGGCTCCGCATGACGAAGATGAGAGTTTTGAGGAAGATCATGGAAATGACCATGATGCAATGACAAGGAAGAACATCGGCATGACTCAGGAAAACTGGGAAAAGATGACAAGAAAAGAAAAGAAGTACTTTTTGCTGACAGTGATGTGGGAAGCGGCATGCGTGTACAAAGATGAAGAGAACATCAATAGCATCAGCCAACAAATGCAGATGCTTGCTGATGAGATCAATGCTGAGGCCCCGATCTCAAGATCAGGAGCAAGCAGCTCACATCATGATGTCCAGATGTCTGAGCGTGAAAGGTCACAGAATGTTGAGGAATGTAAAGTTAGTGAACCATGTGCATGACCTTTCACGACATGACAGACGGACGGACAGCCAAACGGTACGCCACATGCTCACTTACTGTGGTGGTTTGGCTCGAATCCTTTACCTAGGCCTTGAGCCTCCCGCGAGCCCCAAAAAGGTTCGTGTGTGCGCTCATTCCGCGCTTTGCAATATATATATATATATCGGAAAACAGTTCCTCAGACACACACTTCGGGCTGGAGGGACTTTCCCAGTGATGCATGGTGCAAAATCATGTGTGAAATGTGTTTCTTACAAAAATCCTCCATGCACATTTGTGGAACAGAATGGGTCGCCCACACTGAGGGTTTAGTTCAGCTTGCAAGGGCCGGGAGGCCATGTGCCAGCCAGTCGCTGGCATCGACACTAAGGTGTGCACTATCAAAACGAAGTTGGTGCTGCCCGCCACGAGCAACACTTGGTTTTCGGCAGGCCCGAGCGGAATCATTGTGCTCCATGGTCTACTATGGCGGTGGAATTCCGAGTCATCCCTAATCCAGTTGAGACGGACTACACTTGTATTATTGAGATTTCAGGTGAAAACACCTATGGGATCTATGGAAAACTTTTGATGCACATGACACAGATGATGCAGTGTGAAGAGGTGGGGCCACAGGCCCATTGTGATCTCCTTCTTCATTGCAACGCCCTCCGTGTGAGTGGTCAGGAATCCAATTTTGGACGATTCAGCACCATGCTGTGCGATTTCATGGCAGATCACCTGCATGAGTGGACACTCGTGAGCAGTGTTGGGCAAAGTATTTCCAACAATTGGGGCGACACAACTGGCTCAACACCAGTGCTGAGTTTTGTGGCGAGGCAGCAGCTCTTCATTTTCCTCTCAGCCTCGCCCGCACCGCTTCAGCAGAGCATGGGAGCCACCCCACGAGGTCACACTCTGGAAGGAAGCCGCACCCCATGCTTGTCCACACCACAAGGAAGCCGCCGAAACCTTAGTGGCTCAAAGTGATGTGGTTGGCTCAGTGCATTGAGATACGGCCAAAAAGGCCAGCAGATGCCAGCAGTCATGAGCGACTACCGTGAAGGTGGCGCCTTGACAGAACCGCAGTTTCCGTCGGTCGTACCGTGGGTCTTTGTTTGGACGTTTTGGCTCCAGCAAGGGCAACTTTTGCACAAGCTTGATTCACCAGCCTATGTACAAGTCGGTAGCAGGCTGCAAGTGTAGGCGTGAAGCCGTTAAACTGCAGCAGAGCTCGTCAAAGTTTCGAGCATGTTTGAATTCTGGGCATGCCCAGAGTTAGAGTTCCGTCGACTTGTCCACTAGCGGTGCAGTCAAAGAAAAACCATAAACCTACATACATCACATTAATTATCGTAAATTCAATTAAATACTCGGCTGATCTCACAGCATCCACCAGCTGCAGCACGATATTGGCTCTTTTTAGGTGAAGATTCTCTCCAAAAGCCTGCGAGAGTGAGGTGCAAACGGGGAAGATGTGGGTGCCTGTTGGTGCGGAAAGGTCGCGCAACAAGACTTCCCCGGTGGCAAGAGATCGAGCATTTGTTTGCAGATTTGTTTCGATCAACCAAGTGTTCGACTTGTCACGAAAGCTAGCCTTAGCTAGCTGGAGTTGCTCTTGCTTTAGCAAGTTAAGTGACGGGGTGGACGCACCTCAGAAACCTCAAATAATTGATTAAATCAATCTTAGGGCCCCCCCCCCCCCCCGCGGTTCGACTCCCCCCTGCGCGCGGTGAGCGGGACCACCAAGCAGCTGCAGCACACCAAGCATCTGCAGCGCCCAGCGCAGCAGCGGCAGCAGCAGCAGCAGACCACCCAGCGGCGGCAGCAGCAGCAGCAGCATACCCAACGCCGCGGCAGCAGCAGCCGCAGCAGACCACCCAGCGCCAGCAGCAGCAGCAGCAGACGACCCGGCGCCTGCAGAGCACCCAGCGCAGCAGCGCCCAGCGCAGCAGCGGCAGCAGCAGCACCAGCAGCAGCAGCACCAGCAGCAGACCACCGGAAACCCGGCTAGCTTTCGTTCACCCCCTCTGGCCTCAAGTTACTAGTAGGGATGCACTTGTTACTAACAGCGATGCCCCTGCTACTAGTAGAACCAAGTTTTGGACTTGTTATGTAGTTTCCTCAGGTTGACTCAAATTGTTTGTTCCAACTGCTGCTCTGAGCAGGTCTCAGCTGCAGCCAGGCCTATCAAGGGACTTGAAGCAATATGCATGCTACGGTAGGACCCATCGGTTTGAGGGAACAGATGACCTTAGTGTTCTCAACTGTTCATGTTTGCCCTCCTGACGCAATTAGGTGACAGTTATAGTTATATTTGTTTGTGCGTGTGAGTGCGCATGCATGTGCAACCATTATTCCACTGCTCGAGCTTTGCTTGGTGACCACTATGCTCAAAGGTGTCCCAGGAGGTTTTTCACTGCATGGACCTCAATCAAAAGCATTTATATAAGTGCATATCTAACTTGATATTCCTTGTGTTCAACGCGTTTTGCACTCCGAACTCCAATCTAGCCACTCAATGAATTTGATGCTGAAAATGACTGCCTCCCTAGCACGCACACTTCGTGCACCAATCCAAATCACACACACACACACGCACACCTTGGCCACTGGGCCGATGGGTGGCGCTCCGGCACTCGTAGCCTTGAATCAATCTAGCCTTTTGCAGAGCGACTTCAAGACAATGGGTGAGAACGGAGATGAGTGACATGGAAGCAGCTCGAGAAAACGACCTCAGATCTATGAGCGCCGGTTGTATATAATACATTAATGGAATCGTGGAAGCGTTTCGCTTCTGATATCACAGCAGCCAAAACACAGCCATACACAGCCACGACGTTCAACTGTATGGGAAATATGAGACCCAGTCCTCGGCAAGTGTGTTTCATGTTGTGTAAATTTGCTTGGAATACTTGTGCGTAAGCCGAGGTTTGGAAAGCTATATAACTTGTAGATACTTGTACAACATCAATTTTTACCCCTTCATTCAATTGAGTACTTTAAAGTTGTTGAATTGTTGAGCACTCATTTAGAGTGTGATATAATTGTATACACCTGGCCATACCGGCATGGCTTCAGGTGCAGTGACCTTGAGATTCAGGAACCGACCACTGGATGCAGACGTGTGCTGTCACTTTCCACAGCTGCACCTCGCATTGAAGTTTCACTTGAAAAGAACACATTCAGCCCCTAGCATCAGAAGTTCCCAGCCGGGACTTGTTGCTGTTGATGCCCACGCACACATATACACAAATATTATCAAATATAAATATATATATATACATATATACACATAAAATAATCCCATTTGTGACTGTACACGCTGCTTTGAGTTATTCTTTGTGTGCTTCACTACGGTCAGGTGCTTGAGTGCCAGCAATTTTGCATTCATGTCCTGTCAAGCTTGTTGGTGTCAAGGTCAAGTCACTGCTTCTGGGCCAGCTTATTTCTGTCTTGAATACCTTCACAGGCGTTTTTTCATCCACACTGGCTGCTTCTGGCATCAACCTGCCGACCACGCAGTCTAGCTTGAAGCCTTTCCTGAATTATATATGTAAATATTTATTGCCACGTCGACGTGAGCATTGGAGTTGCACACATCATTGACTGTCAACGAGTTGGGAGACAATGGAAATTTCATGTTTGTGGTTCAACCAATGGCTCAACATTTTTCTTTTTGTGATTTTTTTGTATTGTAAATCTTCTTGCATGCCGAATTTCACCACAAGAGATTTGTCAGGAACTGCATCTTGCTGGCGCTGCTGCTTTGTCCAGAACTTCGCCGCATCAGTGCCTTGCTTTTGCAGTGTTTTTCCCCACCTGTCAGGTGAGGGTTGTTAGAATTTATGCTTTTTATGCCAGCTGCCTTCCTCCGCTTCCGCCGCCGCTCCTCCGCCAGCTCCGGATGGCTCCCCGCCGGACCTCAACCGCAAGTGTTCCCCGCCGGACCTCAACCGCCAGCTGGATGGTAGCGCCCCCCAGCGGACCTCAACCGCCAGCTCCTGAGCGCACTGGGCGCTGCCGGAGCTCAACCAACACCAATACACATTCACAAGCACATTCACAAAAACAACCACAAACACATCCACAACCAAAAATCACAGACACACAGCCACAGCCAGAAACACAACCACAAACACAACGACAATCCCAAACACACAATCACAAACACACAGCCGCAAACACAACCACAAACACAATCACACACAGCCACAACACACAACCACAAAGACACATCCACAGCACACAACCACAGCACACAACCCACAACCACAGCACACAACCACAACACACAACCATAACTCACAACCACAGCACACAACCCGAGGACCCACAATAAGCAAAATCTAGAACCACAAAACTCACGACCGTGGCAACATGCTCCTCACCATGGCATGAAAACAAATGATTGAAATGTCATGAGTCATGGTGGGGATCACTCGAAGTAAAGTTTTTTTGTGTGCACCGATAATCAGTCACGACTGCCCGGAAGCTTGTTGGAGTTTGCTTGATCAAGGAGAGGAAGGCTTGAGAGTTCCATGCTGGAGATATGCGTGCTGGGCCATTGCTGATGTTGAGGCAAACTATTTGGCGCCTCAGCTGCGCTACCGCTACACTTTGGTGAAGCTGTGGGCCTGTGGGCCACCGAAAGACTGTAGTAACAATAGCAAACCACAGCAACGTGTAGCTGAGGGCCAACGGCCACTAAAGGCATCGCCGACGGTGACTATTAGCAGTTAAACAAGAGTGAGCAACAACTGCAAGTCGTATGGGCAAAACATGCCACAACCCAGTGAAGCTATGGGCTGTTGAACAGGACTTCTTTTTGGACATAGGAAGGGGCAATGGCTGACTGTTCCCACAGAAAGAGCGCCCAGTTGCCCTAAAAAGTGCAGAATATTGAAGTCCGTTCTTAAAAGGACCAGAGTTGCTCCACGTTGTCGTTGCCATGTGGAAAGATGTGGGATCTGAATGCCACACGACTACAAGAGTTTGCGCAGTTTGGCATATCAGGTTGTGCTTGCCTACCGTTACACCTCGGTGGCTTCAGTAATGCTCTTGGATGGCTTCACCGTACCTTGTGCCATGCTGCCTGGGTGCAGCATTATTGATGGGAGTCGAGCTAAGGTCAGCTGCTTGAAGGGGTGGTAAAGAAAACCCGCCACATGTCGCTTTGAATCGTCCCCCAACTTTGTAGCACTTGGGGAAACAATGTTTTTGGTGATGGCATGAGGGGTGCCAGGTTCGTACAGTGAGTTTTGATCCACTGAGTGTTTGCTTGTTCTATTTTACAAGGATCACGTTTGCAAGGCCGCTGCATGGCACAAGTCTGTAGGAGCTGTGGCTGAGCATTTGGCAGACTTGCCATGCTCAGACATGAACTTGTGGCCCCGCCTCCTCAATAAAGCAGGCACCTACTTGATTAAGTATGGAGCCAAAAAATATATATATATATATACACACTAGACCAGAGTAATTCGACGGAGGATAGCTTATGCTTTTTCAAGTGAGGGCGGGGGAGAGCTTCCTTGAAGTGCTCGCACTATTCACTATTCACGTGGTTCCTAGATTTTGAGGGAAACTTAACAAGTCTTCTTTGTTATTAAGGTTTAAAGAGTAATTAGTATACAAATTTGACAATGATGTTGATCATGTAGAGCGCCCGATCAGGTTCGTCTCGTGGCTTTTGCTGCGTGCAAAATATCGAAAAGCACATATTGCCGCTTGTGTGGTATGCTTAGTTGGCTTAGGTGCCTCGGCTGGCTATGGTTGCCATGTGTCACCCAGTTGGGCTGGACAAGAAAGCGCTTCATGTTTCTCCTCTAACTCTCAGGCTTAACAGTGGTCTCGGACAGCTCCAAAGCGACTGGTACCACTGAACGCGCCTGGCTGGGAGATTTGTTTGTGATTTGTGGAGCCTCCCTATACTCGCTCTCCAATGTGCAAGAGGAGATCCTGCTCAAACGGCACAGTTCTCGTTGCGAAGCCTTGGGAATGCTTGGAGTTTTCGGCAGTCTCTCAACTCAACTGATTTGTGCCACCCCCAAAAGCTTAGCGGCTTAGCGTTATAGAATGTGTTCAAAAGATGGTCCGCCGTTTGGAATGAGATTTTGCACAGTCCTTGGAAAACGAAGCCGAACTCCTTTTTTGAGCTGGTTTGTGAGAGAGAAGCCGGACTGTTGGAGTGGTGCTGTACAGGTGCAGTGGTAATCTACTGTAACTCACCTGGTGAACAAACAGAATAGTAGCCTAGCTGGTGCAAATCCTGGGATAACAAGGCCGGAAACCCAAAAAGGAAGCCTCAGTAGAAGCGAACCAAATTTGGAACGTTAATTTTGAAGGTTGCTCATTTGATTTGTTTCCTGTTCGATTCACAGGTGCTGAAGCTCAACTGTTCCAGTTCAACCAGTTCAATGAGACGTTCCGTAGCAAAATAGTTGAATGGAGGAAGCCTAATTGATTAAGCAAGCAAGAGATGATGATGGACTTTGCAACAAGAAAATTGCAATTTTAACCCATTTTATGCCAACCGTACCCAGTGACCCAGCAATGTCCAGCATGGTTTCGGCCTTCCAGACAGGTTTGCATCCGAGAGAGTGCTAACACAGCTGAGGCATCATATCTTGTGTTCAAGCTTCCATCTTAGAAGGATCTACGCTTCTTCAGACTTCTTGGTCATTGAAAGATTTGGGATGCCTTTTCGGCTTTCAGCTGAGCCTGTTTGGCATTTACGCAGCTTTGCGCAAAAGGGTTGCAAACAGCTGAGTGGTTGAGGCTTGAGAATTTCAATGGTATTTTATTGTCAACACCCTCACTACTTCAAGTCAATGCACAAACTGGACCGGTGTCTTGTACACAGTGTGATGGAAAGCCAAGAAGCAGGCAACAACAGGTCTTGAGGTCAGCCAGCACAAGGCAAAGAGCTTTTGTTCGGCATGTCCAGCGGTTTGGAGCCACTGAACAAAGATCCTAATAGCTTGTTGTTACTACTAGTAAGGCACTTGTTACTAGAAGCGATGCCAGGGGGCCTAGTAGCTTCTTGTGACTAGTAGTGTGTAATACTTTCTTGTTAGCTTGATGAAAACACGTTTGCCGCACAGCACAGCGCAGCGTGTGCCAAGGTCCTGACGAGCATCTTTTTGCAGATCTCTGACTCTGCAGTCTTCAACATGTCATTGCTGACATGTGACGTGTACAGCATCGTTTTCTCTTGGCAGGACTGGTTGGTTTCCTTGGCAGACATGCGACATGCGTGAGCTGTAGCTTCAACATGTGGATTAAAGCCAGCGCTTTGGGTGAAACTCGTCCCCACATCTCACTCCATCCCTGAGGTCCAGCACAAACAAATCAGTTGGACCTACGGCATTGCATTCATCTTGACGTTATCGGGCTTGGTTTGGTATCACCGACAGCCTGCTCCAGTGGAGCACATGCACTGAGGGGTGCGGGGCTTGGGATGCCACAAGGGCTTCTCACTACGTAAACGGTTACGGGGTCTCCAAGGCCTTCGGAGACCTGAAACACGGAAAAAACCGTGAAAAACAAAACAAGCAATTTGGCCACCGGTATATAAATAGAAAAGTCTTTGCGACGAATTGGCGCATTGGGATGAACAAGTTGACGCACAGGCCCAGGGATGCCATGTTTGAACAGTGTCCGGTGAAGTGTTTGAGCCAGAAGCACCCGTTTTGCCAGCTGCTAGTTTTTTTCGTTTTCGTTTTGGGGCTTGGTGTTAGTTGCTTTGCTTTTTGTTGGCAAGGTCCGGTTGGTTTTCGTTCGTGAACACCGGACAGCTATGCCAGAGAGGGGTAGCCCGCAGTCAGCACATTCTTGGAGGTACACATTCTTTTGATGTGCTGTAAAGCTGCATGGCTCCAACCCTTCAAACTGTACAGATCGAAAAGCTGTCTCCTTCGGTGAAGTGGGTCCACTTTCAAGAGGCCAAGGGCCAGGGCTGCCTCCAAAATGCGTGGGGACCACTGAGTTGCTAAATCTAAACGCAACCACAATCTATGCCCCAGTACAAGTGGTCAGTTCCTTTACAATCTTGTTTTGCAACATTCATCTCCCTAGCTAATCATCAAGGAGGTCCCAGAAATGGATCACTTCGCAGTCCATGCCTTTGCTTGGGTTGCAGCCAGCTATCGCGAAAAAAGCTTCTAGTAGCTTCTTGTTCCTAGTAGTATGGCCAGGAGCCCCTAGTAGCGATACCAGGAGCCCCTAGTAGCTTCTTGTTCCGCTGAATGCTGATGTTTGGACAAGCTTTCTTTACAGAAGGCTGCTGCCGCTAAAGGTCTTGTAATGTTGCTTCCGCAGTGATGCATTTTTCTAACGATGTTGGACATCCGTCAAAGCGCCCAATGATGTTGGAACAGAGGCTCAGATCTTGGATCACAGCAGGCGCTTGACCTCAGGGAGACTGGGGATTCATCACGGCTGTGATCATCCAAAGCAAGTCTGCATAGCAGGCCCTGCATTCATCGGATTTCGAGAAACAGTAGAAAGCCCCTCTTCGTTTTAACAATAACATACAATAACATATTTCTACAGAGGAAAAGTGATGAGGCCTTGCAGGCCTCGAGCCTTTTTGTCCTACTCAGGTTTGTGCCAACTGCGAGAAGCCCATTCCGCCTGAGGGCCGCTTTTGCAGCGGCTGTTTTCCTCAGGTCGTCGAAGAGGCGCCCGGTGAACTCAAACGGCTTCAGTGTATGATGGTGGAATACGATGATGGAATACACCAGTGGAATGCATGTGTGGATACGACCTTCCCGCGGTTGGTTCTTGGGGCTCCACAATATTACACACACATGTATATATATATATATATTATATATACAGTACATATACATGGGTTTGGGTTAAACCCTGGCACTTCCCCAAGCATAGACGCTTGGCTTAGACTAGACTATGTACAGTAATCCCACCCTGCCTATTGGCAGGATTCTTCCCAGCCTTCAGGGATGTCTTCCTCAGAGCGGAATTGTCACTCACATGAAAGTAACTGAAGTGTCATTGAGTTAATCTGTTCTTTTTGCTGGGTTTGGATGCATCTCGTCTCGGCTACCTCCATCGCGCCCCTGCCTCTCTAACGTTTGAGTCTTGCAAGGCGGGCATTTTGGGCAATACATGGACATATTTGCTAAAGTCTAGTCGTAAAGCTTGGCAAGGAGAATTTGTTTGGTTGGCATTTCTACACGAGAATCCTTGACGTTGCCCGTTCACTGATTTTCAGGCCTTGCAGCTTCGGGAAATCGTTGGAAAGCAGCTCGCCATCGCCGGCGTTGTTGAAAGAATCACTGCAGGATGTGCATTTGAAAGAATTGTATCGATTGAAACAATGGTGGAACTACGTGGAACTTGTTGATTGAGAAGAAACAATATACGTTGTCTATGAGTCTATGGCACATTTTTTGTAATAGCCAGTGATATCATGTGCTATGTCCCAGTCCCATGTCACAGTACCATTCTTGGTTTCCAGTGCCAGGTGGAAGCTGCGGCCCTGCGCCATCAGCCCTTTGGCCTCACTTTGTTTGGAGATGATGGCCAATGGTCAACAATTGAAAGATGTTTGTTCATCACAAATGCTCACTTGACATCACTGACTTGACAGCTTGGAGCTTATGGCGGATCAAGATGGCTGGTGGCATTTAAACCATTACTCTAGTCAACTTTTGCCCTCAAATTCCAACAGATGTTTGAACAATCTGGCTTCCAGTGCTTCCAGTGCTTCCAGCTGAGCTGGGTGACATAAATGGATGGACCAGCCTGGCCGTTCCATTGAGCAATTCCATCGTTGAAACCATATGCGATACTCCGATGCTGTACCACTGTAGACGAAACTCAGCAAACTCGAAGTGGTTGGTACAGGAAGTTGTCAAAGATGAATTTGTAGCTGTTTCACCATTTATGGTATATAGTTCACTAGCAAATTCGAAGTGTTCACTGTTCTCTCAGCCTTTGTGTCGCAGTGTCCGTGGTGCCGTGGTGTCGCTTATATAGTTTCAAAAGGTTTAAATTTTAAATCATGGAGGATTGACTAAATGTGTGGTTAAGCTAACGTGAGGGTTTGCTTGGTGCAACATCTCTACAAGGGAGAGATTTGCCTGATTTCTTAGCATTGCAGCTTACACAAGAACAAAAAAGAAGACTCCTCGTTGTTGCGGCTTTAGTACGACCCTCTTCCAGCACGGGCAAGTTTCTCCCTACAATGCTTAGAGAGAGAGAGAGAGGCGGATGTCTCGCTTTAAGCAGTGCTTGGGATCCAAGGTTGGAAAGCCAAAAGAGAGAGGAAACACAGCTTGAGGCCCGGCCAGGTATAGCTGGTTGAAAAGATCATCCGCAAGTGAGATCCAAGACTTCTTCGATGGGTGTAAGCGGAGCTTGTATGGAAATTTCTTTTGAAATCAATATTTGGGCATATTTGCTTCCAAATGATTAAGTGTCCACCAACCACCATGCATAGGATTTCTTTCGGATTGTGGGCTGAATGGGTGCACCAGTAGCCCTGCTTGTCCTTGTGACTTGCAGGCCCGGAAATGCGACCTGGAGGCCCAACTTTATGCGGTGGAGGCCGGAGCACAGGACCCGTCCAGCGCCTGTAACGTGGCATCAGCCTGGGGCACCCACAGTCAGGCCACGTTGGCATTGAAATTCTCCAGGTGAGACAGGTCTCAGCTTCAGCCCCAGCTCAAGTGCTCAACCGAAATCGCTGAAGGACTCGCAGACAGAGCCAGACCCTGAGACATTCTCATAGAATGGGATAGCAGAGAAACAGTGAAACAGCAGTCGCCGCAAATGATCTCACTGGTTTTCACCATGCGCGAGTGAGTATGAACTGTCATGTATATATATATTATATATATACTATATATAATTTGATTGTTTAAATTGTTTGGAGCTTTCTTGGCATGGCCTGGTCACGTCAAGAGAACGTGAGGCTGAAAGTGCCTAGGCCAACCCACCACATTCTCAAAGCCCTGGCGCAGCTGCGGACATTGCGGAGAGACGAGGAGGCAGACCGCTTGCATTGTGTGAAGGTAGAAGGGCAACAAACAGAACGGACATGGTTGGACACTGATACGTCCGGCATTCTGTGACAAGTGATAAGTGAAAACCTGAGAGCGATGGCCTCCAACCTACAATGAGGCAATAGTCTCCGGAGCTTCAGGTTTCGGTCTCCCGACTCGGTGCGAGACAGCATGTTTTCAGCTTCGTCAGGCTTGGACAGGCATTGACAAGACGCCATACTTGAGACAACGACGAGTGAGGAAGCATTAAGGCAGTAATAGGCAACTATTAGGACATTATTATGACACTGACATAGGCAGCCCATGGCTCATTCCTGAAGCCTCTCAAAGCAACTGAAACAGCACACACCACAGGAATTTTGTTATTTTCAACCACACATTCCACACGGTGTACCTTCAAGCATTGCTTTTGTTTACTGTATACTTTTCCTGCCCATGCCTCCATTCCAAGCCACTTCGATGGATGGCAAGCTGTGTGTGGAAGTTCAGCATGCCCAAGACTTGCATGGTTCTGAACCCTGCTGCAAATCAGCGGCTGGCGGTTGTTCAGGGCATGATCGAAGCGAAGAAGGGCAACGAAGTTGGTGTGGTTGGATGTTGAGAAGCCCTCGGCAAAGCAGTTTTTAGACGATGGATGTTTTATGATGTTTTACTAGCAACTAGCTTCTTGTTACTAGTAGCGATGCACTTGTTTCTAGTTGCGATGCACCTAGCTACTAGTAGCTTCTTGTTACTAGTAGCAAAGCCGGAGCAAGGACTTTTCTTCCCACTCAGCTGAGGAATATCGCCTTTTCGACCACACCAGTGCTGTCTTGGGTATGCGGCGGATTCGGCCTTATGTCACGTGCAAGGTGTGCTGGGCCGCACAAGCTTTTTGGCTGCATGCTTTGGTTGCGAACATTCGGGGATAGGACATGCACAGTTCAACTCACATTGCGGCAGATGTCATAGTAGATGACGAGCATTAGTCAAAGACCATGGGGCACTTGTCACCAGCCGCCTTCAGAAACAACAATATCAAAGCCTTTTGCGTTTGCGTAAGATGAATTGCAACACACCATGGCACTCTGTCCTAAATATAAGTCTAAATGGTCTAAATTCTAAATCAAAGTGTCCAGTGAGTTTGCAGGCTAGATAAAGTCGCCGATATGACAAAAGACGAATTGGGAGAAGTATGGGGAGGCTTTAAGCCACATAAAGAGATATATATAAAGAGTATTCCCTTTGATGCGCACATGGTTTCTAGTGACTTTGCTGCAGACAGACAAATTATGTGCAGCTTTATGTGCAAGAAAGGAAGACTGAAGACACTTCTGGGTTTGCTGAGGAGACACCGCCACAGAGCAGCAATTTCATCGAGGCAGGCAATGGCGACTATGCTTATTGGGGCCAAAAGCTGATGTTTTCTTTGAGCAATGACTTTTGGAATGCTTCGGTCTTCAAGGCCGGGCGAAGAGACGAAGAGATGGAAATACCTAGGGGAGAGGGGGCGCGATCGGGCCCAGCGCGCGCTGTCGTTGAAAAGAGGTTGTGATGTTTTGCTTACGTTCTTTCAACTGGCGTGATTCTTTGGACACTCCACTGAAGCATTCAGTACAAGTAGCATTTTCATGAGCTGAATGAAGCTTGGCATCGGAAATCGCACAATGATAACATTAGGAAACACATAGGACCAAAACAAGAAAAAAACACATGTCAAGATATGACAAATACTAGGAAAATATTGGGCACACACGTCTAAAAATTACACAAAACAAAAAGCAAGGCAAGAAGAAAAGACAGAAGCAAGGATGCAGCAATATGGAGCACAAGCACAGAATCAAACATCTGACGAGGTAAGGCGAACTAAACAATCATCTGGCAGGAGGGGCGTAGAGGAGCGGAGGGGTCGGGGTTGAGGCGGGGAGTGGTCAGGGCAGGGGTCGAGCGGTCGATTTGTTTCCTATTTGTTGTCATATGTTCATATATGTTCTATCTATTGCTATATTGTATTTTGTTTGTGTCCTATTTTATTCATATCTTTCCTTATGCTATTCCTAATTAATTATATATGCTTTTCCTACTTGATCTATTAGTTTCCTAATTGTCTCGAGGCTTTTTGCCAGTTTTGCAGTTTTGCGAGTTGCTTTCCGGGCAGTCTGGTCCAGACCCGGGCTCGAATCCCCTGAATGTGCTTCCCCCAGCCCGGAGCCATGGTTGGTTTGTTTATTTTTTGTTCATGGTTTTGTATGTGTTGTTGTTGTTGTTGTTCCTTTCTAGTTATTGTTCCTTGCTTGTTTCCTATTGTTGATGCTATTTATATATGTGGAAGCTTAACTTCCAGTATACATTATATAGATGCAGGTGCACGATGCACATTTGGAGTTTAACCCCTGAACTTATTGATTAACTATATGACATGACTCTATCATTATCATGATCACGATCACTGCAACCGGAGGGAAAGCAAGTTAAGACTCAAAGGATTGCTCTTCTCCGGAAGAGCTCGGTTCAGACGATAGAATGATGAATCAAGTTGGATCAAACAGAATAGACATGAGTAGACCGAAAAAGAGACGCACAGACTTACCTGGCAGGTGATCTTAGAGGTATTCGACAAACGGGAGCTCCAAGGCGTCCTGAGGGGTGACTCACTCATCGGCCGAGCAGAGTTCAACGTGGATCCAGCGGTGCTCGATGTGACACCTCAACAGGAGGTCCAATCCGGGGTCGGCTGCAGTTGCTAGTGACGTCATGTGAACGTCAGGTGACCCACAGGTCTAGTGGAAATGTTGGGAGGCTAAAGTCAGGTGCTTGCACAGTGTGCACTAATTAAAATATGTGCACTATGTTGCACCTGGCAGCGCAGCCAGTTGCGGAGCGAGCTGAGATAGGTCAAAGACAACGAGATCACCTTTTCAAGTAAGTAAGACATGTTTCATTGCGCACAATTAAGTCTATGCACTGCATAGACTTAATCACAATCTTGCCTAAACGAGGTCCCCCTCAACTACGGCTACCCTGGAAGTTCTGCAATTAGTTGCAGAATGAATTGGGGCTCACACTGAATCACACTTCTCATGTGCAATCCGCTTCATCAACAGCATGGACACCCCAGTCTTGTGCAAGAAACAATGGAAGATAAAGTGATGTTCCAAACTTTTTGGCCGTATGGTGGGGTCTTTCCGATGATGGCATGACAAACATGACTGGTACTGTTTTCTTGCTTTTATTTGGGCAGCTTGAAATAGAACGTCCGATGAAGACGCTGGAGGTGGCATTGCAGACATCTCGGGGTGCTCCAGCTGGGAAGCTTCATTTGGGATTTCAGATTCAAGCACCGCAGGAGCCGCCGTCAGGATAGTACACGGATGATGACAAGGTTACCGTTTGTCAACTGCGTTAAATGTAACATGTGCAAAGGGATAGAGAGCTAGTTCTCAGTGACACTACCGCATCGCATCTCACCAAACTAAAGTCACTGCTTTTGGTTTAGCTTGTTTTTTAATGCGTTTTTCATCGTGTCAGGAGGCTTTCAACGTCATGGCCCACAGCTCTCAAGGCGGAAGCTGTTGCAGGACTCAATGAGAAGCACCCAACCACCTCCCCAACCACGCCCAATCTCCGCGCTTTTCAAAGAATAGGACCACATGGGAATCATAGGAATACTACGGATGCGGGGATGCCATGTGTGAGAGGACAGGGGCTTAAGCGGCTTAAGTGCAACATAGTGCAGCCAAGGCAGAGCGAATACGTTGATGACTTTGTGCCAGGCTCCTTGGCAGCCGCAGCGAAAGCCTTCGCCCAGACGCTGAGGCAGCAAGGAGCCCTGGAGGAGCTCATGAATGCACGTCCCACAGCGATGCGAGAGATGCCAGCTGAACGTGTGGATGCTGCCAACGGACATCAAGCAAGATTGTTTCAACATCACATGGTTTACCCATAATTTGTATGCACAAATGGTTAAGCAAGGGGAAGAGATGGGAATAGAATTGGTAGTTTTGCTAGAACAAACGCAACAGATGTTTCTTTTGGCTTTCAGGATGTTTTGAGGTGGGGTGAGTTGTTGCCATATTGTTTTAATTATATACCAGCTCGCCTGCGCCAAGGTTAGAAATTTGTTACGCCCCTGGCTGTCCAAATTTTGTCTCCAGAGCTTATGCCTGAGCGGCAACGAAGCCGACGAGAGTGCTATCAGGTCCTTGTGGAAGTTGGCACGCTCGGCACAGGAAATCATCGCTTGTTGCGCACAGCTTGGAGAAGACGATGATGTACCCGGCATTGTTGTTCAATGGCTCAAGAACTATTTCTCCAACTCTGCCAAGGTGGAAGCTGATTTGAACGAGACCCGTTTGCGTGAGCTCTTGGCCATGTACCAGCCAGGGGGCAATCAGAGCGATCCATGGGCACGTTTGCAAGACTTTGGATCCTCGCTTGCAGTCATCGCGTTGCCAAGCTATGCTCGTGCACGGATGTGGGGCCGCAGCATGTGCTAATCCTTCCTGGGCATTCCTTGTTAAAATGCGTTAACATGCGTTAACTATTAACGACTGTACCATAATTTGTCAGATACTGGAATTGGTATGGATGAAGGCCCGCCCGGACCTCACTGCAATCACTTTTGGGGTCCATGTGCAGCTTGTTTGACTCTTTGGAGGGGAAACAGTAACGCTGTGGGACTCCCAAGTCTTCAACGGTGGCAACTGCCGCAACCCATGGACAACTTGCAAAGGTGCAAGGCTGCCAAGCGGCTCACCTTTGGAGTTGGCATTTTCTTTGGCCACACGACTTGAAGAAGCCCAACGAGGCAACGAGATGGAGATCTTCACCTGTGAGGCGTGGTCAAGTGCATGGCTCATGCTGCCTACAGGCTGCTCTAAACAGGTTGCACAACGATGGTATGAATGAGTGTTGGCTTGTTGCCCCCTACTAGCCGCCATTTATACGAATCATCAGTCTTGAAGATCCAAGTCTCCCTTACCAGGAGATCATCCAAAATGGCCGTGTGGCTCCTGGAATGGCTGCCGTCGTCCGAAGCTCCAGTGGAGGGATCGGCGGGCACGTCTTCATCTATGAGCATCGGTCGATCAAGGATTGGCAGGTGGGAGCTTAGAGTTCATGCCTGAGCACCTACACGTGGATTTCGCTCATGGGAGACCGAAGCGGTGGAGCATGTTTGGTATATACGTATGTGATCATATGTAGGTGTAAATTACATAGCTATTCAATGCTATTCATATATCTATATATGCTAAGTATACATGCGCGTGAATGCTTGTCAACTACTACGGTAGCTTGAAGATAAGTCAAGCTTGCAGCAGCAGCGCCTCCTTTTTGCGGCTCTAGGCCCAATGCTCGAGTGATCCATGCACGCGTGATCCACTGAGTGCTCACGAGATCATTCCCATCAGCTGACAGCTGACTGTGCTTCCTTTGGGCAGCCAACTGCAGCATGACAGCATCCCTGTAATGCCACATGTTGTGTCATGCTGCTTGCATGGGAATTAGCTGCTTAGCTGCTTCGGGAATGTTTCAGTGGGGAAGGGCAGATTGGCAGATGAGGTTTAGCTTGCCATTGTAATGCCCTTATCTCTCGGAGACTGGGCCAGACTGGGGTCATGATTTGCAGATTGCAGAGAATGGCAGGGTTTGGGGTTGCATTGGAGGTTCAAATCGCACTATATTTACAAATTGCATCAATCAATAGATCAAGCGCTTTGTGGCGATCCACGGTCTCCGACCAGCGACCCCAGCAATCTGGATTTGGAATTTGTGCTCACCTGGCTCTTTGACCACAGCTGTTACGTTGGAATTGCACAATAGAAGCCAATTCCGACAGAGTAGGCTGCCTTCAGTGCAGCACCAATGCCAGGGTGCCAGGGCGTGCCCGTAGCGGAAAAGCGCTCGAACGTAGCATGCATGGCCCCTCCCACACCCACAACACAAATTCCAATGTATTGCCGCCTGTATTGCCATCCTTGAGAACTTGAACCCTTTGACACCTTGGCTGTGCTTTTTGAAATTGAGCGCACATTCGCTTGGGAAGGTACGCTCCAGGCTCGCTGCAGAGCAGTTGGAGGTTGGATGGTGCCGGGAGTGGCGTGTTGCTGATCCACGATGCATACATGGTAAGGGCAGCAAATCCACATACGCGCACCCTCATGCGACAGACGAGGAGCCCACATAGTTCAATCTCGTTTCATCACGGCTTGTGTATGTGTGTGTATATATTCTTGCTTTCAGATGACAACTGACATACGCGTAGATGTGACCCATGCCCCGTTCACACCCATTACATCCTATTACAGGAAGAGGGGCCCACAGAATGTGTCACAATATCTAGACCAACCAGCGCTTTAGTTTTGAAACTCTTGCCAAGACGTATCCAAAAAAAATATCCAAAGCGTTTGAGTGCCACCTTGTTGGCAGTCGACTCGTCAGAGCATGCTAGAGCCCTGTCCACCAAGCTACAGTCGGCTTCCAATCATCACAACAATCAAGAAGGCATCCAGAAGCACCACACCTGTTGGAAGCCATGGATATTAGTAGGCTATTAGTATTAGGTTGGAGGCCATTGCTATTAGGTTGGCGGCCATGGAGTATAAGCAGAAGTTAGGTTCATTTTTGTTGCAGTTGTTTGCTTTCGACTTAGTGGCAGGCCTTGTCGCAGCGCGAGGCTGCTAGCATCGGAGCCCTCGAAGAGGCCACAGTGCGCCTGCAGCAGGACGGGTCAACGGGCCAAGGGAAGGAGGGATGGATGAAATTAGTGCGTCCATTTTTCAACATTGGAGTGGAAGCCGCTCGTAGAAGGCTCTATTTGTCTTGCAAGTGGAGTGTCTCGCACTTCCGTGCTTGAGATGGTACACTTGGAGTACCTTAAACCAGGATGGTGTGGCTCCAGTTTTGGTGCCCAGGGATTCATTCTGTTTCTGCCTCGAGGCGAATGAGCGGCATGGATCCCTGCAAGAGCGGCCTGCGCCTGAAGTTCGTCCGACGAGTCAGTTTGCTTGAGAGTTGGAGGTTGTGAAGTGCTTGAAGGTTCTACAAAAAGGAGTCATGAGACATTGTGACATGTTGTCGCTTGATGCAGACCTTGGGCTGGTTGTGCGCATATGAAGCAGTGAAACATGGACCCTAATTGTGAGCCAAGACCAAGAGCTACAGTAACAAGAAGCTACTAGGGGCTCCTGGCATCGCTACTAGGAGCAAAGGGCATCGCTCCTTGTGCAACTAATGTTCACTTGGACTCGGTGGCTCGGTGTGAACAGCCAAATGGCTCCCTATCGCTCTTTTGAGGCTACTCCATGGCGACAAGAGACTTGGCAACCCCATAGCCACTGACTTCCATGAGTGCAGTACATAATAGTACATAGTTGCTCTATGTTGCGCTGCATGTTGTTGTTGTCACGAAAGCTAGCGAAGCTAGCTGGAGTTACTCTTGCGATAGCTAGGTTTCTTTCGACCGGGTGCAAATCCTAACCCCTGATTTTTCAGGTCGAAGCCCCCCCCCCCCTCCCTCCCCTCTCCCCACCTCCCCTCTCCCCACCTCCCCTCTCCTCCTCCTTGTCTTCCTCCCACCTTCCCTCCCTCCCTCCCTCCCTCCTGCAAGTTCGACTCCGTCCTGTCGTCGCTCTTTGGCATGCGGTTAGCGTTGCGTATCTTGCGGCCGCACTCGCTCACTCTCACTCTCACTGTCTCACTGTCTCACTGTCTCTCTCTCTCTCTCATCTCTCTCATCTCTC